AAGGTCATGCTTCTGGAAATAAAAGTCCCTAAAACTCCTCTACTCTCCCAAAGACCCATCTGCCTCAGCATCTATATGACCTCAACCAAGTCCCAGGAACTTTGAGAATAGGGAAGGCTGGCCACAACTCACAGCTTTAATAAATGCAAGTTGTTGGCCATATCAATAGTCTTGGTTGAGTGAGCTCAGAAAAGCTACAAGAAAGGGAGTCCTGAGGAGGGATCCCATAAAGCAGAGAATGGCATTACTGCACTGGCAAAGAGACAACTGGAACTGACTTAATACCTGAGACAGGAGAGGAAAAGGCACTGGGTGAGGGTGAGGAAGGCTGAGCATCCCCCACTCACTGTTCCCAGATCTGATCATACCCTTGCAAAATTCTTAACATGATCCAGTACCATCTGATCTCTGACCATCTGTCCATCCTCATCTCATGCTTCTCTTCCTTGATGATTTAGTCCCTGTGACATGGCCTTCTTTCAATTTCTTGAATATTTCAGGGTTTAACCTACATTGGAACTATTCTTGATGTGGAACATGCCCCTCCCCACACTCTACTCTTTGCCTGGCTAGCTTTTTCTCATCCTTTTGTTCTCACCGTAAGTGTTACTTTCTCAGAAAACCTTAACTCTCCAGCCTAAAATTAGGTTTCTCTCTTACATTTTCTTCATAGCACTTGTGGTGGACTTATGTTAACTTTTATCTGCCCCCTTCATTCCCTCCTTTAGGAAGGCACCATTTTAAACAGTTACATTGGGAATATGTTGCCATACTTGTCTCCCCTAGCCACTGGGATGGGCACATGACTTACAGGTGACTAATCATAGTATTCCCTTGGGACTGATACATAGTGGTTGGGAGAGAAAGAAGGTCTCTTTTTGCAGGAATTGGGAAGCTACAAATCTGCCATCATCTCTCTAACTCCCCATGCAGAGAGTCTGGCTATACAAGGAGGCTAAGGGGATAAGTAAAGCTGAGAAATGGAGAGTGCCATTGAGTCCTGGGTCTAGTGGTCTTCCCAATTACAGAAGCTAATACATTATCTCTCCCCCCCCCCCCCCCCCCCCCGCTTTTTTTTTAGATGGAGTCTTGGTCTGTCACCCAGGCTGGAGAGCAGTGAGGCTATCTTGGCTCACTGCAACCTCTGCCTTCTGGGTTCAAGCGATTCTCCTGCTTCAGCCTCCCAAGTAGCTGGGACTACAGGTGCCAACCAACACACCTGGCTAATTTTTGTATTTTTAGTAGAGATGGGGTTTCACCATGTTGACAGCTGATATCAAACCAGGCTTACCTCAAGTATCCACCCACTTCAGCCTCCCAAAGTGCTGGGATTACAGGTATGAGCGACTGTGCCCAACCAATTCTGTTTATTAAAGCTAGTTGATTTGTGATTTTATCACTTGCAATAACAGAAGTCCTAACTCAAGTAAAACACCACAATTTTAACAGCTTTATTGAGATATAACTCACATACCATACAGTTCATTTACACAATTTTTAATTAATATTTGTGTTAGTATTTGTTTAATGTCTCTTTCCCCATTAGTCCCATGACAGTAAGGATTGTAGCTGTTTGTTCATCATTCATTATATCCTAAGTGCCAGGGCAGAACTTGGCTTGGTGTCCTCAATAAATGTTTTTCACTGAATAAGTAAAATGTATTAATGAATATCTACCCTGTTCTGGGTCCTTAAGATTATTAAACAAATTAGACACAATCCATGCTCTCGAAGCCTAGAAGGAGAGATAAACATGTAAATAGCCAAGTTCTGGTGATCAGTAGCAGAAAGCTCAGTGAGCTGAGTTGGGCAGAGATGGGTTACTTTGACCTGCCAAAATCTAACCAATTCATTAAGGTCTTCTTCAAGTGCCTTCCTAAAAACAGCGCACTAAGATTTAATCTCATGTGTTCTATCTGTGTTCCTCATCAAGATTTATACTGATTCCACCACTTGCTAATAGTATAAGCTTGAGCAAGTTATTTAATCTCTCTAACTTCATTTTTGAGAATATTGGACATGCTCTGTAATATCTACCTTAAGGTTTATAAAGAGACTTAAGTGAGATAACTAAAACTAAACATTTCACATAGTGCCTTGTTCAATTTATATCAACTATGATTACCACATTTGCTGTTTAGTAAAGTTAAGTGGTTAGAAACACACGCTCTGGGAGCCAGACTACTGCCTGGGTTGAAATCCTGGTTTTACCCTCTTACTAGCTGTGTGACTTTGGCAAGTTACTCAACTTCTCCATGCCTCACTTTTCTCATCTGTTAAACACACACACAGAAAGTGTGGAGATAATGAAATATATATCTTGAAGGATTTTAGGGGGATTAAATTAGATGCATAATACTTTAAAACACTTAGAATAAATAGTGCCTGACACAGGGTAAGCAGCGAATAAATGTTTAACCAATTCACCTTTTAAAAATATTAGAATGGTCATGCATGGTGGCTCATGCCTATAATTCCAACACTTTGGAAGGCCAAGGCAGGTGGATCACCTGAGGTCAGGAGTTCGAGACCAGCCTGGCCAACATGATGAAACCTATCTCTACTGAAAATACAAAAAATTAGTTGGGCATGGTGGTGGGCACCTGTAATCCCAGTTACTCAGGAGAATCGCTTGAACCCTGGAGGCAGAGGTTGCAGTGAGCCGAGATTGCCCCAACCTTACCCTGGACCCCAGCACTACAGCCTGGGCGACAAGAGTGAAACTCCATCTCAAAAAAAAAATCTTAGTGAGAAGGGCTTCGCATGCTGGTTATATATTTTTTCTAATACATATCCAAATATGTATTAGAAAATAAATACAGAAAATCATCCTGCATAATTCCAGTGGCATGAGCTCCCCACCTTGGGCAACATTACTCCAGATTCATACCATCTAGTGATATATAGTTCCCTGACCAAGAGGGCTGCTCCTTGTCTTTGCCCCTGACTGGGGAGCCCTTAGCTCTCTTCCTCACTTGACTCACCTACTTATCTTCAAGACTCCACTTGGGCAACATGTTCTCTGACCTCAGAAGAATCCGGTTCCTCCTCTATGCTCCCCCAACATTCCTCTGTCACAGTCCTCACCACCTGGGCTATGACTGTCACTGTAGGCTCTCACTAGATTGAGCTTCTTCAGGCCAGGGAATGCATCCTATTTCACACCTCAGGGCCTAGTACCAAGTAGGTGCTCAGGAAGTCTTATTGGACAATAAAATGAAGTATCCAAATACTTACCATCATAAAGTTAATCAAACATAGTTTTGCATCCTCTGTGCCCAGCTGTATGCTAGGCATAGTAGACACAAAGACAAACAAGACTCATTTCCTGTCTGCAAGGAAATTTTTGGAGACAGACAAGTAAATGAGTGTATCCAAGTGTGATGGGTACTGTGACGCTTCTATGTATGGGATTCCTTAAATGAGAAAACGAAGTAAAGAACCCTGGCAGGGGACTAAGAAATGTTTCATAGAAGATGTGAAGTTTGAGCTGTTTTGAAAGCTGAATGGGGGCTCACCAGCTGGATGAGGGTGGAAGATGGGGTGTGAAGAGAGCATCCCAAGCAGATGAAATACAGTCAGTCCAGGGAGAGTGCTGGGAGCCTCCCGGGAGACTGCAGGTTGAAAGCCTAAAGGGACAGTCTGAAGTTCTCCAGGTGTGGACTTCATCACTTGCTTATTGTTCTATGGACCACGTAGAGGCACTTTCTGGACTCTGAGAACCTCTGTGTAGAAACAGCAAGGCCCAAGATGACCCAACCTCCCTATTTATTAAGCACTTATAGTTTGCTACAGTTTACAGGCCACCTTGATGAGAAAAAAGTATACAACACACACACACATACTCATAATACACATAATACAAATATATACAACATACAATTCACACTTGTATATTATACAGATTACCCACCTACAAGCCCAAATATCTGTACTTCAGAAACTGTTAGAGAGTATAACTTTAAACTCTCCACTCCTCAATACTGAACAACACTTAGGATGTGAGATATACTTAGACTGGCTAAAAGCTAAGCATCTATTCTAGAGGAAGATTTCAAACTTTCAAACCTACAGGCATGGAACTCTTTTTGTAAGGCAACCTTACCCTGGACCCCAATACATAAAATAAAAGCTCTTCTTTTAAGCAAAGGTAGGTAGAGTTCTGCTTTGGGCCCACTGAGACATATCTGGGCCTCAAACGAGCACAGAATATTTTAACCTTGGAAAAATCAGGACATCAATGGGCTACATACTCAAACCACATAGTTTTGTTCCCTCATGCAATTACTTTTGTTGTGAATTGTGTTTTGGTGAGAAGCATGAATTTGCATTGAGATAAACTGTAAGAACAGCATATAAATACTTAGTGCTAAAAGGATGTTTGATATTTAGGCGTGGTCACATTCAGCATACAGAGTCTGCTCTACAGGTGACAATGAAGAGCAGTGCTCCTCTGGAATAATGGGTTTGTTTTTACACTAGGACACACTGATCTATGTAACTGATTGTTTCCCTCTTGGCAATGGTTGCTAGGAAGCTCAAAGGCAACATTTTGGCCCAACTCTTGAGGTGTCCAAGAACTTATGACATAATACTTACTCATCCTAGCTTCCTCTTATTTTTCCCTCACCCTTGCTTTCCCTTTGCTCCAATTTTCTCTTATTTATTTATTTTTATTTTTGTACTGTGATGATTTTTATAAGACACCTCAAGTTTTTTGTGGAAGGAACTGGTTAAAAAAAAGAGTTTATAAATTTAAATTTTACTTACATATTCAATATAACAAATATATACATATCAAAAATGATGAATTATCTAAAACTCACAGTCTAAAGCCCATATGTATATCGTACAAATATAAAAACAGATCACATAGGTACATAATTCATAATTACAACACTAATGTCATAAATACAAATACACTCATGCCCTCTGTTTATCCCACTTTCATGACCATGTGTACACATGCACGTGTACACACACGTGTGTCATCTACATACCAAGCTGCTCTGCAAGGAGGCGGCCCTTCTCAGTGGGAACAACCCTCTCTTCCTCCATGTCACACTTGTTCCCCACCAGAATAACTTGTGCATTGTCCCAGGAGTAGGTCTTGATCTGAGTAGCCCTAAAATGACATGGAAAGAGATGCGTTAATCATGTTCCTATAAACTGAATGTCTAGTTCCCCACTACAAATTTACATGTTGAAGCCTAATCCCCAATGTAATGGTATCTGGAGGTGGAGCCTTTGGGACATCATTATGTCAATGAGGCTAGAGTTCTAATAAATGTGTCCATCTAGGGGGCAATGATCCAAGAAGGCCAATCGCTAACATCTCCGGATTGCAGCTCCCAGTGAAACCTCAGAGAACGAGAGGACACCACACTTTCAGACAAATTTTGGTTGCTCATGGAGCAGAAGATTCCCAGTGGAGGAGCTCCACGGGTCGCCAGTGCAACTCTTGTGGCCAGCGCAGAGGTTTCCCTGGCACCTCGGCACGGCAGCTCTCGGTGCGGAGTAAACGGGACTGGTTCCCCTTCTGACTGAGGTTTGGAGGAGCCACACAGGTTGCCAGCATGACTCTTGTGGCCAGCACAGCAGTTGTGCTGGCACTTCAGCACGGCAGCTCTTGGTGCAGAGTAAACGGGACTGGTTCCCCTTCTGACCGAGGTTTGGAGCTCCGGGAAGGCAGAGTCGCCTATTACGGACTCAAGAAGGAAGCCAGACTGGAGATTCCTGGGCAGAAAAGCACCATCAGTCTTAACGCCACTGTTTTGTCCAATGCAGTGGGTTGCTCATATTTCGGCCCTGGAAATTAACAACTTGGACGTCCACTCAGAGACCTAATTTGAAAGTTGGTAATTACAAAGACGACAGGTGGATAAATTTACAATGATGGGAAGAAACCAGCGTAAAAAGGCTGAGAATACTCAAAATCAGAACGCCTCTCCCTCTAAAGAGGATCACAGTTCCTCATCAACAAGGGAACAAGACTTGATGGAGAACGAGTGCATTCCAATAACAGAATTAGGCTTCAGAATATGGATAATAAGAAACTTCTGTGAGTTAAAAGAACATGCTGTAGCCCAATGAAAGAACTTTGAAAAAAGGTTTGACAAAATCCTAATGAGAATAGACAACTTAGAGAGGAATATAAGTGAATTAATGGAACTGAAGAATACAATGCAGGAACTCCAAGAAGTATGCAAAGGTTTAAACACTCGAATTGTTCAAGCAGAAGAAAGGATATCAGAGGTCGAAGTCCAACTTAATGAAATAAAATGAGAAGACAAGATTAGAGAAAAAAGGATAAAAAGGAATGAGCAAAGTCTCCAAGAAATGTGGGACTATGTAAAAAGACCAAATTTACGTTTGATAGGTGTACCTGAATGTGACAGAGAGAATGAATCCCAGCTGGAAAATATTCTTCAGGATATTATTCAGGAAAATTTTCCTAAACTAGCAAAGCAGGACAATATTCAACCCCAGGTAATACAGAGAACACCACAAAGATATTCCTCAAGAAGAGCAACCCCAAGGCACATAATCGTTAGATTCACCAGGGTTGAAACTAAGGAGAAAATACTAAGGGCAGCCAGAGAGAAAGGTCAGGTTACCCACAAAGGCAAGCCTATCAGACTTACAGCAGATCTCTCAGCAGAAACTCTACAAGCCAGAAGAGAGTGGGGGCCAATATTCAACATCCTTAAAGAACAGAACTTTCAGCCCAGAATTTCATATCCAGCCAAACTAAGCTTCACAACTGAAGGAAAAATAAAATCTTTTATGAACAAGCAAGTACTCAGAGATTTTATTACCACCAGGCCTGCTTTACAAGAGCTTCTGAAAGAAGCATTACACATAGAAAGAAACAACCAGTATTAGCCTTTCTAAAAATATACCAAAAAGTAAAGAGCATCAACATAAAGAAGAATTTACATCAACGAATGGATAAAACAGACAGTTAACATCAAATGGCAGTAATCCTAAATTTAAATTGACTAAATCCCCCAATCAAAAGATACAGCCAAAACCCAACGGCATGTTACATCCAGACCCCTTTCACATGCAAGGATACACAAAGACTCAAACAAAGGGATGGAGAAAGATTTACCAACCAAATGGAGAGCAAAAATAAATAAATAAATAAATAAATAAAAAGCAGGAGTTGCAATTCACGTATCTGATAAAATAGATTTTAAAGCAACAAAGATATAGTGGTAAAAGGATCAATGCAACAACAAGAGCTAACGATCCTAATACCCAGATACATAGAGACTTAGACTCAATGAGACAGAAAATTAATAAGGATATCAAGAACTTGAACTCAGATCCGGAACAAGTAAACTTAATAAATATTTATAGAGCTCTCCACTTTAAATACATAAAATATACATTCTTGTCAATACCACATCACACCTACTCATAGGTTTAAATGAAACATTGATTGGCCATTATTAATACCCATTTTTTTTTAGAATAAAGCATTTCCGTTCTCTCTCCCTCTTTTTCTTCCTCTTTCTTCCTCTCCTTCACTCCCTTTTTCTTCTTCTTTCCTTCTCTCAAAAAAAAGAAAAAAAAGAAATCAACTTGTAGACCTCTAGATCCAGGTCGGCAATGTCTCTCTCATTGCTTGATTTCCTTCCTTCCCTTCTCTCCCTCCCTCCCTTTCTCTCCCTCCCTCCCTCCCTTCCTCCCTCCCTTTCTTTCCTCCCTTCCTGCCTTCCTCCCTTCCTCCCTTCCAAAAAAAAAAAAAAAAATGTGTCCATCTAAGAAGAGAAAGAGAGTAGAGCCCTCTTTCTCTCTTGGCCATGGGAGGATACAAGAAGCCAGCTGTCTCCAGATACTGTAGCTGCTGTTGCCTTGATCTTGGACTTCCTAGCTCCAGAAATGTGAGAAAGAAATGTCTGTCATTTGAGCCACTAAGTCGATAGTATTCTTGTTATAGCAACCCAAACTGACCAAGACACACACCCTTCTGGGACAAAAAGAAAACTGCGAAGTGTGAAGCAATGGTTTCTCTTCCACAGGACTAGCAACACCCAAGTTACTGCCAATTAATTCAACTGAGGACGTAAAGGTGCTTGCCCCTGCTGGCTGTCACAGATGCTGACTCCAAAGCCCTGGCTGCAAACCTCATCCCTCTCTTTGAAGTCCACCTCTACCATATCTGGTCATCCCTCTCCTCACTAGGTAGAGAGCTCTTACTAAAACAGGTATTTGATCACAATGTATCCTTTCTTAAAAGCCTTCTCTGGCCCCCAGCTAGCTATGTGATCAAGTCCAGATTCCTCAGTTCAGACCATTCATGCTCTCTCTCTCCAGCCTCATTACCCATTCTCCCACCTCCCAAACCTTTTTACTCATTCTCCAAAAGCTCTTCCATGGCTTGTGCCTTTGCCTACACTGGGAATTTCTTCCCCACAACTAACTCATCCTTCAGGGCCCAGTGCTGATCCCACAACTGGAGGAGAGCCTTCTCAAGCTTCCCTAGATCCACTTAGCCTCTACCTCCTCCTCTGTGATTCATAAACCTTCCCTGAAGTCTTAGATTATGTTTAGTTGCAGAAACCAAAATGTCAGCAGTGATTACCTTCATGTAAGATGATTATAAGATTTTTTAAAAATGCTTTTCAAATTTCCATACTTTTCACATTTTTGAAAGTGAGCAAGTATTACTTCTATAATTAAAAACAAAATTTTAAGAGGAAATAAAACAGGACTCTCTTACATTATGGAGACATCTTTTTGTGGAGATGGGCCTAACATTCCCAAAAGACCCCATCAGGTAGAAATGATTACTTCCATTTTGCTGAATTTCTATCTCTCCCTGAGGGCAAGAACCCGCCTATTCATCTTTGGGATGCCAATACCCAGCACAGAACGACAGAGCAGAGAAGGTTTCAGTGAATGTTTGATAAATGAATGAGCCAGTGAACAGTTAGTCCTGAGGCAGATCTTGAATCTGACCCTCCCCTGACACTGACAATCTAACTCAACCCTAAGTGCAACCTGAACCTATTACTGACCCTGCTCCTAAAGCTGATCTCACCACCAACCTTCTCATTTATGGTGAGAAGCCATTCCCTCAAAGGATGTAATTCACTCAATCACCATTTGTTATGGGCCCACAAGAAACCAGACCCCATTCTGGACACTGAGGCTTAGATGAGGGGTGAGGCTGAGACCAAGCTGCCCACAGACAAAACTCAAAGGCCAGGGCTTGGGAGAGACAGACACTCAGTCTTCAGACTCAAGGCAGGCACCTGGGGCCAGCTCTCCTTGTCTCCTATGCTACTCTTTCTTTCATCGTCCACCCTCCTCCCACCCCATTTCCTCTCAGCTCCCAGATTAGCAACAAACTCAGGTTATTCTTGGAGGAATCCTCACCAGGTGTTAAAGTCATTGTGTTCCTGAGGCAGAATGAATAGAGACTGAAGGAGGAAAGGAAGGGGGTCAAGGCCAACAGGGAATGGGCAGTGGGGAGACACTTCCAGGGAGATATGGTGAGAAAGAAGAGAAGGGGCAAGGAGAGGGAATGAAGGGAGGAAAATGATGAGTGGAGAGAGTAAAGGGAAGGGGAAGAGAACAGAGAGGAGAAAGACCCAAGACAGAGGGAAGAAAGAGTTGTTAAAAAGGAAGGGGCAGAAAGGAGGAAGAAGAGGATAAGAGGCAGAAAAGGAGAACACAGACACCCAAGAAATGACAGACATGCTGATGACACCCTGATGCTGGTCAGAACAGGGGAGTGCAGCAGGCAGCCCACAAAGTCATTCTCAGCTCAAGCTGTGTATGTGAAGCCAATGCAGCTTCACACAATTACAACTGCTCCTTGGGAAAAGTGAAGTCCTCGAAGGGTCACTATTAGGCAAAAGGGAGCAGGAGACAAGCCCAGCACTGGCCAGCACTGCTGCTGTGTGCCTAGCCTGCTCAGCCTCTCTGATTCTGAAAGACAGCCACCACACAGATGTCCCACCTTCCCTCATCATCTGAGCAGGGACACTGGGTTTTGGCCCTCCCTCTCACGTGTCCTTCCCCTCCAGCTCCCTCTCCTGGGAATCGTGCCCCAGGAGGAAAGCTATATGTTGCTCAGAGGTTGCACCTCTGAGGTGCTATACTGATCTGTACTGATTTCCATTGCGTATTAAGCCTTGATGAACTTGGACTATATGTACTCCTGGACACCCAGCTCAGCCCAGGGATAAACTTTATAGAGAAGTGCTATGTGGATTCACTCTCTGCTAGAGCTACCGTAATCTTCCTAAAACACAAATCTGAACCTGTTGGTTTCCAATTCATATGTCATCACCTATGGGACAGAATCCAAACTCCTTATAGTGTCACACAAAATCCTTCATGACCTTCTCGCCTTTGCATATCTGTACTCTTTTTCAGGAACATCCTTATTCATTTGTCCCTCGGGCTAACTCCTGTTAATCTTACAAAATGCGGCATCTGTGTCAGCAACTCCAGGGCACCTTCCCTGACTCCCTAAATTGGGTCAGAGAGCCCTCTGCTGGGTTCCCACAGCCCTGATGCCTCTCTTCATCACTGCACCCAGCACAAGATATTTTCTTTTATCTTTTTTTTTTTTTTTTTTTTGAGATAGAGTCTCACTTTGTCACCCAGGCTGGAGTGCAGTGGTGCAATCTCAGCTTACTGCAACCTCTGCCTCCCAGGCTCAAGTGATTCTCCTGCCTCAGCCTCCTGAGTAGCTGGGATTACAGGCACGTGTCTCCACACCTGGCTAATTTTTGTATTTTTAGTAGAGATGGGGTTTCGCCATGTTGGCCAGGCTGGTCTCGAACTCCTGACCTCAGGTGATCTACCCACCTCAGCCTCCCAAAGTGCTGGGATTACAGGCGTGAGCCACCATGCCTGGCCTATAACATGATATTTTCATTCCTGCTTATGGATCTGTCTTCTCCTCTCATCTGTGAACTCCTGAGGGCAGGAGCCATGTCTGATTCATCTGGGCTTCCTTAGCACACAATCCAGGACCTCACAGCACAAGTTAGGTTTTAACAAACAATTTGCTAAATGAATGAATGAATGAATATAAGAGTCTCATACCAGTCTTGGACAGCATTGAAGGACTCCTCATTGGTGATGTCATACATCAGAATGAAGCCCATGGCCCCACGGTAATAGGCTGTTGTGATGGTCCGGTACCGCTCCTGCCCAGCTGTGTCCTGGGCAGGAAAAGGAAAGAAGCAATCTCTTAGAAAGTCTGCTTTGGTTCCCAAAAAGTCCCTAAAGCATAACTAATAACCCAAGGCATATTTAAGGAGCATCTATTATGTGTCTTGTATTATGCTTGGTGACTAGAATGAAATGATTTTTTAAATCTCATAGAAATTAATAAGAATAATTAAAATCCTAATAGAAAAGTAGACAAGAGGCATGAACAAGTCACAGAAGAAATGTTGAGTGGGCACTTATTACATAAAAAGTTTTAACCTTATTTTTATTTGGTTGTTTTTTTTCAAAGACAAAGCCTTACTCTGTTGCCCAGTCTGAGTGCAGTGGCACCATCATAGCTCACTGTAATTTTGAATTTCTGGGTTCAAGCAAACCTCTCACCTCAGTCTCCAAGTAGCTGGGACTAAGGGTTTGTGCCATTGCTCCCAGCCCCTTTTTTAAAAATAATAATTACCATTATTGATAAGCATGCAGTGAAACATACAACTTCACATTTTGCTTGTGGGAGTGGAATTTGGTTCAGCCTTTCTGGGAATCAGTTTGAAAGTGTTAAGAGCATTAAAAATGTTCATATTCTTTAACCCAGAAATATTTCTTCTGGGAATTTTTCCTACAAAATTAGAAAAAATGTTCCCCATAAAAATAGAAATTCAGACAAATTTGTATGTGCAAAAACACATTTGTTACAACTTTATCTAGACAGTAAAAACATATCATCAACTTATATATTCAACAATAGGAGAATGATTAAAATATAAGAATATTTATGTAAGTTCATGTATGTAAGAATATTCAATGACATGAGACAATGCTCATATGTGTGATATATTACTTTTGTAACTATACATGCACAGAAAAAAATGGAAGAAACACATCAAAAGGTTAACAGAAATCATTTCTAAATAAGAGAAAAGAACTACTGAGATTTAAATTTTCTTCATGTAATTTTTTTTTTTTTTTGAGACAGGGTCTAACTCTGTTGCCTAGGCTGGAGTGCAGTGGAGCAATCTTGGCTCACTGCAACGTCCACCCCCTGGGCTCAAGCAATCCTCCCATGTTGGCCTCCTGAGTAGCACACCACCATGCCCAGCTATTTTTTGTATTTTTAGTAAAGACAATGTTTTGCCATGTTGCCCAGGCTGGTCTCAAACTCCAGAGCTCAAACGATCCACCACCCTGGCCTCCCACAGTGCTAGGATTACAGGTGTGAAACACTGTGCCCGGACTTCTTTATGTGTTTTTCTTATCTTTACAACGCATTACTTTTTTTTTTTCTTTTTGTGTAGTGTCTCTTGCCTATGTATTACTCTTACAATAAGGAAAAATAAACATTTTTTCAAAAAATGACTTTAAGACAATTCTTAGTCACAAGTAGCTCACAGCTTAGTTGGAAAGACAAATACATAAACAAGCAACAAAGACAAGACCAACAGCAAAGGGTTATTGGGGCACACTGGGATGCTTCCAGATTTTCTACATAGTCCTCATGTGAGGGGCCAGCCATCTTCTCTGTATCATTACAGTTTTAGAATGTGTGATCCTTAAGCAGGTATGAAACATTTCCTCACAAATTATCTCATTTAAATTTTATAAGATTCCAGTGAGGTAGGTGTCATTATTATTTACATTTTATAGTTGAGAATGCAAAATATGCAGAAAGGGTAAGTGACTTTCCCAAGGGCAAGGTCACAAAGCTGGTGACAAAAGCTAGGACTTTTTTTTTTTTTTAAAGACAGGGTCTCACTCTGTCACTCAGGCTAGAGAACAGTGGCACAATCATCATAGCTCACCGCAGCCTTGGACTCCTAGGGTCAAGTGATCCTCCCACCTCAGCCTCCCAAATAGCTAGGACTACAGGCACCCACCACTGTGCCAAGCTTTTGTTTTGTTTTGTTTTGAGACAGGATCTTGCTCTGTCATTCAGTCTGGAGTGCAGTGGCATGGTCATAGCTCCCTGTAGCCTCAAACCCCCAGGCTCAAGTGATCCTCCCACCTCAGCCTCCTAAGTAGCTGGAACCACAGGCACATGCCACCATGCCTGGCTAATTTTTTTTTTTTTAACTTTTGTAGAGACAAGATCTCACTATGTAGCCCAGGCTGGTCTGGAACACCTGAACTCAAGTGATCCTCCTGCCTCAACCTCCCAAAGTGCTGAGATTACAGGCATGAGCCACCACACCCAGCCAAATCCCAGGACTTCTTATTCTATGTCTAATGTAGGTACCACCATACCTCCATCAATGAAAAATTGATTTATTCACAACCATCTACTGAACACCATCTATAGTTATAATAAAAATAAATAATGAGAACAATAATTTCATTATGCCATTATTTTTACACAGGTTGCACCTATTATCCACAAATGTTGGAAAACCCTGGAGAATATATGTTGTTACTCTATCTTACAGGTGAGGAGACTAAGATTCACTCATAACTAATCTGTCTCTCTCCTGCACCCATTACAAAATATTGCCTTAGCTATGAACTATACTTAGTGTGATAATAACATGGAACAAGCACCACCCCTGCCCTCAGGAAGCCTCAACAGAGTTGTGAAGGCAGCTGAGACATAACAGCATATTAATAATTAGCAATGTGAGGCAAAATGTCATCAGTATCAGATAAGTGGTATAAAGAAAATGAATTGGCTGGGCATGGTGGCTCCTGCTTGTAATCCCAGCACTCTGGGAGGCTGAGGTGGGTAGATCACTTGAGGTCAGGAGTTTGAGGCCAGCCTGACCAACATGGCAAATCCTGTCTTTACTAAAAATACAAAAGTGAGCCAGGCGTGGTGGTGTGCACCAGCTACTTGGGAGGCCAAGGCATGAGAATTGCTTGGACCTGGGAGGCAGAGGTTGCAGGGAGCTGAGATGGCACCACTGCATTCCAGCCTGGATGAAAGAGTGAGACTGTCTCAAGAAACCAAACCAAACCAAAACAAAACCAAAAAAATAAAAAACAGGAAATGAGTCATACAAGTTCAGGTAAAGTAGAAACATGGTGGTTTCAGCTAGCTATGGAAGATGTCAAAGTAGAGATAATATATCCTTTAGGATAGGCTGGGTTCTTCAGGAACAAGCAATCCCAAATCTCAGTAGCTTAAACAACAAGGTTTTATTTTTTATTATTATTACATTTCCATTAAGGATTGGCTGAGTGTTCTGCTTTTTGTCATCTTTATTCAAGGATAAAGACTGACAGAGCAGCTGCCAGAGGGGAAGAAAGTATGTGAGTCATATATTGGCTCTTAAAACTTCCACTTTTCCCATTTCACTGGCCAAAGTAAATCACTTGAGTTAGATCAAGTCCAAGTGACTTGATCCATACCCAACTTTCAAGGTGTAATAAAGTGCAATACTATAATATGCTCAGGAGGAGAACTGGGACTATGTGGCAGACAGCATAATGATTCCCATGGGCAGAATCTTCACTGAGCCCAGAAGCATCACATGAAGTTGTGTTTATTTGGCAATATAAGGAGAACAACTTTTTTATTTTTTTTCCTACTATATAAAGTACATCTGAGCAGAACAACTTTTCTAAAGAAGAGTTTTCCAGGCAGAAAAGTAAAGGAAAGGTATTTTGGCAGAAGTGAGAGTTTTTGACAGTAAGTACTCCCGAAGAACTTAAGGAATGGTGGGAAATGGGACATAGGTAGGTGATGAAGCTAGAAAGAGCTCTGAATACTATGCTATGGGATGGACTGGAAGAAGAGATAGGAGAAAGGAAGGTTGATTAGAAGATCTTTGCAGTAGTACAGGTCAGACTAGATAAGAATTTGAACTAGAGTGGTAGCAACAGGGATCGAGTAAGAACAGATTCATTGAAGTATTTAAAAGGTAAAATTATAGGGAATGGTGACAGATTACATGTGAAGAGAAGAAAAACAAAGGTACCAGTTGTTTCTGTCAGGGCTTAGCTTCTCCATGTCCTCAGCAATTCAGCTCTGGCCCAGACTAGCATTACCTTACTCCATACAACAAAACCTGCATCTAACAGGCTCACCCTCCTTTAAGAGCATATGAATCACCATCTCCTGTTAATTGAGCAAGGTCTTTGAGCATCTTACTCTCCATCTCAATCAGCTTATCAGAGTATTCCTTCTGACCACATACAGCAGTTGTCCCTGTGATTTCTGGAAGATATCATTTTCTCCAGCTCATTAGTGAGTGGGAGGATAAATGAATAGATGAATGGATAAGTGAGTGAATGAATGAGTGAGTGAATGAACATTTAACACTGGAAATCTTAGGCATTATTGAAAGAAATCTGTCATATCCACACCAAAGCTCTGTGTTTGTGACTAAGAAACATTGGCAGCAGTATTTGATCCACTCCTCCTTGCCTCTGCTTCCTGAGCTCCTTAGAGCCAATTCCAAAGAAGAGACCTCCCACCAATCTGTAGGTTCAGTCCCTAAATCCTGTTCTGCAGGATTTGGAATTAAGCCACTCTTCCTGGTCTAGACGCCCAGGCAGGATTTCTGAGCTCTTACACTGTCACCAGGTCTCAGCTCTCCTCAGTCTCCCTACACTATGCCGTGTTATTCTGTGAAAGTGTCTAGTCTCAGAGACACTCTGGAGCCTAGCCCTGTACCCAAGCTCTCCAACAGAAGACTCTTGTCACCCAACTGAATCCCTACTAATTGGAAATTCTGGTATATACTCGTAAATGAGCTTGGACCTGAAGTCAGTTTTATTTCTGTACTTCCAGTGTGTAGCACAGGGCCGTGCACCCAGTAGCAATTCAACTACTGTTAAACAAAAAGGCCATATAGTCTTGAAGTTAAAACCATGATCTTTGGAGTTAGGCTTCTGGGTGTGAATCCCTATTCTACCACTTACTCACTATATGATGGTAGTAGGCAGCCTCAAAAATGGCTTCTAAAATGTCTCCTGATATTCATGCTTTTGTGTAACCCTCTCTTTGGGCAACTTACCTATTGGAGCCTTAGTTTCTTCGTCTATGAAGTGGGAATTAAAACAATAC